TTATCAATATTAATGATCCCAACAAAGTTATACTCATTTTGCTAGCTTCTAATATCTTCTGTTATATTTCTTTATGCATACAGGTGAACAATTTTATAAATAATAAAAATGTATGTATAATTGTAAAACAATTTAAATTAAAGTATTATTCATGATTATTATATGCTCAATAATTCAAGATACAAAGACTAAGTTAGTAATAATATTCACAAAAGTGCTTACCAATTTTTGCAAAAATTAATGCTAGTATTTTTATTGGATAATGTATTGTGTTTTTATTGGTATACTAGTATGCTCCCACTTACAGCGGATCTCCAGTATGTTGGGAAAAAGATTATACTGGTCACTTTTTATCAGTTCACCTTGCAGTATTATGCATAATAGCATTACCATAAATTTTTTATATATTTTTTAGACGTTAACATTGAACAATAAACAAAAAAAAACCGACTCTTAAAATTTGTGTTGTCATTTAAAACGTTCAAATTAGAATTGCAATGAGAGCAAAAAAGCGACCAATAATCTAGTCACAGTTCAAAATACGAACATTTTATATTATTCGACAATTGCATTTTACAAAATAATATTTTGTACGGAGCGAATGTGTACATTATTTTCATTTTTATGCATTTTATATTTGTAGTGTTTTAGTGTATTTAATAAATTTGAAAATACTTTATTTAACGACGATTTAAAAACAAAATACTTTAATATATTTGCTTAATATTATGCTGCATGTTTATTCAAGACGAAAATTATGGACGTAATTTTTACAAAATCGGGGATAAACAAAACAAATTTGGAGTACTAGCGAGATAAAGGATACTATCACAACGTTTTTGGAATTAAGCAGTATTATTATAACACGCAAAAGATAAAAAATAAATCCTTATGAGATCATTTTTGTAAGAAGTAGATCTTCTTATTTTAATATAAATTAACGTGCTCAAGAAAATATTGAAAAACACAAGGAATGTCTAAAAAGTCAATGATTTATACCGCATCCCAGTTACTTTCTCGCTTTCGACGGACTTTTTAAACGGACTATTTAAACTATACAAGATGATATGAAAACGTTATTGAACAAAATTTTAGAAATGAAAAAAAAAAATTTTATCTGTCATATACATTGTGGATCTAGTTTTACCAGCCGAATGCGGAAAATATGAATGCTCTTTATCTTACCACTACTCCATAAGTTGGGATTCATTCGAAACAGTTTATTCCTCATTAAACTTAATTTTTTCACACAGAGCACAATAGTTATTACCAATCACCAACATTTTTACTAATAACATTATCAACTGTTGTTGAAATCATAGTACTCCTGGCTGAAAAGCAAAACTTATTACAAATATTTACATATACTTTCTTTTCAATGACCGTTCACAAGGTATCCAAAATATTTTTAAATAGTGTCCCTCTGCATAGTGTCGATATGACTAGATTTAATTTTTCCTACATCTCGAGAAAAACTCGTATGCCTTTCAACTTCAACATAACTGCCACGCCTGCTTTTTCAATACATATTACTACTTTCAGAATGTATATTAATAAAATAACATTTTTGAAACATTATTTTACGTTGGTTAAACTTATGAAAATTACTAGAGTAAATATATTAAATAATCAACTTATAAGAGAAATAAATATTCTAAATATATATTTTAAAATACGTTATTGAAGAACCATTATAAGAGTCAAATAAAATATATGTTAAGTAAAAGTACCCCAAACCCGGAAGGTGAAGCTAATACTGAAATAAAATCTTAGTCGAACATCCAGAAAAATAGCAAAATATTGTAGTACGCCGTTTAAGATTACGGATAAAAGTAAATTTGGGAAATATTACCGAAAATTTTTATTTGAATTTAGTTCATAGGCTTTGTTGTTTTCGTAGTTCAAACTCAGAACGTGTAGTTCATGTTTCCAGTATAAATATTTTAGGGTATTTCTAAACTAAAGTAAACCTAATTGTCTTATGCGCAATCAGAACTAAAAAGTAAAAATTCACTTTGCCATCCGTTTCTATTCCATAACAAAAAATATTACGTACGAGTATATCTAACCACAAAAAAACAAAAAACCTTCTGGATATGGGGTATTTGGCAGAGTTCGGAAATATTCATTAATGTCGGTTTCCGTACAATAGCATGGGTGTGCGTTTACTCACGAAATACTCACGCGTGTACTTTCACTGTTGCCCGCAGTAGCAATCAGATACTAACGCGAATGTGAATGTAACTTGTGCACATTTACTATTTATTCTATGAACAACAAAACTTTTATGGTGTTAGGGGTAGTCAGAATTTTCAAAAAAATATCGTTTTTTTTTTCATTTTCTTAATGTATAATATTTTAGAATTTTTAATAAATCCGACGAATACTTTTTAAGTTATTCAAAAATTAGCAAAAGGTTCTCGTGCGATCTAGAATGTTCGAGGTAGCTAGCAGCAGCTGCAAGCGACAGACAAAGCGAAGCATAAAATTTCAAATGCGTGTTTCTCAAAACTGTTTTTTGAACTGCTGACCACTATGGCTCTAAAACCATCAAGTAGGTTTCAATGAAATGTATTCAGCTTTTTGAAAAACACAAAAAACTAGTGTTTGAAGTATTTTTTTAATTTCGATTTTTTATATTCAACAGTTAGGTTTTTTAACTGTTGGGTTTTTCTCGAAATTCTTGAAAAAAAATTTCTGAAGCCGCCATTGATACAGGTTGGTTGAAAAGTAATTAGTGCTCACCAAGAAATAGCAATACTAGCTCCTTTTTTCTCTAATTGGTATATCTGTCGTAAAAACACATGAAAAATTACAAGTCATTCTGTCAATTAATTATTTGTTTACAAGCCGTTTAAAGATGATGTGTCAGAGTATTTTTTCAATATTGAAAAAATTTGAATATCGCGCAGTGATAAGATTCTTTGTTTTGAAAGGATTAAACCCAAAGAAAAGTTATGAACAATTGATAGAAGTGTATAAGGAGTCCTCACCTTCAAAACGCATCGTTGGATTTTGGGCTGGTGAATTTAAACATGGTCGTATCAGACTTGAAGACGATCCACGCGAAGGACGACCAGAAATCATTGAGCAAGTTCATAATATAGTTAGTGAAGATCCAAGTTCGACTAAGCGTGCAATTGCTAATGCCATAGGCATCTCAGACGAATGAGTACTTCATATTTAACGTGGAGAATTACATATGAAAAAGCTGTTTGGAAAGTTAGTGCCGCACACATAAACAATTCAACAAAAATTGGATCGAAAACAAATTTCTCAGCATAATTTGGAGCGTTTTAAACAGAATAAAACCGATTTCTTACGTCTTTTTATAACTATGGATGAGATTTGGATCTACCACCATGATCTTAAATTGAAACAAAACAAAAAAAAAATTGAACGTTTACAGTGGACTTAAGCTGGTTGTTCTCTGCAGGTGAAGTCACAACGATCCGCAAAGAAGGTTATGACAACAGTTTTTTGGGATGCAAAAAGGAATTTTGTTGATTGATTATCTGCAAAAATATTATTGCAGCCTTTTGAATCAGCTCGATGAAAGAAATCGTGAGAAAAGACCTGGTTTGCTTCACAAAAAAATCATTTTTCATCAAGACAATGCACGTCCTCAAAAAATGTTTTAACAATGACAAAATTCAACGAATTAAAGTACGAATCGCTTGAGCATCCACCGTATTCACCAGATTTGGCTCCCAGCGACTACTAGCTCTTCAAAAACCTGAAACAATTCCTTCGTGGAAAGCGTTTTTCGTCGAATGAAGAAGCTATTAAAGCCGTAGAAGGATATTTTGCAGAGCTTCCGGAAAGTCATAATCGGGATGACATAAAACTATTGAAGGATCATTGTATTGAAATTAAGGGAGATTATATTGAATAAAAAAATATATTTCGTACCAAAAACAGTATTTTTCCTTTCGGGTGCAAAAACTTTTCAACCAACCTGTAATTAACTAAAAAAAATCGATCAAGCACTAGATCATCTACAATATTAGTCAAACTTTTTTTTTTTTCTCTGATTGTTTTAGATTAATCTCCATGCTGAGTGATCGTCCCCGCAAGGAGCTTTGGAACTGGATCCACACAAACAGCCATTACTTTTTAAACTATTAATTTTTTTTTTTTTATTTATGTCAAGTCCAGAAGGTATCTTATTCAATGATACTACGTTTTTACTATTATAAAATAAAATAATTTACTGGCAAAAATAAAATATTTCAAATTGTAATTTTTTCTTGGCTCTGACTACACTTAACCCACACATTAAAATTAAAAAAAAAATTACGTTTAACGCAAATCATCAAAACTCTGCAATGAGGAGTTACACGCTTGCTTTAACAAATATTGTTATTTAATACATACTTGTACTATGTGCATTTGTACTTTTATGCATTACTCCTCGAAATATTTTTATGAATAAAAGCTACTAAGTTTACTTTGCACGTATTTTTTTTAAATTTTCGAACTCTGATGCTTTTAATTTCAAAAGAAAAATTATGAGATGGATTAAATGAAGTTAAAGTAAATAGAAGGAAATTAGAAATGGTTTTATCTTACAAATGTGAATGATATGGCGCGGTATTTTTGATTATGCCATTATATTTATAAATGTGTACATAACATATACATTTTTGTAATTTGCATATACAAGTATAGATTGTTAAACGTGTAATTATATTAATGTGATTGTATACATGGAAAGTACAATTGAACTTATAGAATGAAAATAACTTGATGAAAAAAAAATTTTAAATATGAGTAAAGCTAATATCCAATAATTATTTGTTACTGAATGTGGGCTCAATATAATATTTGTATTTATATATTTATAAATAAATGAAATAAAATAGATTTTGATGTGAAATCATACTTAAAAAATCGACTAAACTCTAGGTCTATAGTAATTAAAAATATATTTGTTATGTAACTAATAAATATTTGTATATATTTGTCAATATTTCAGAGGCTAAAAACAGACCACTTACTTGTGTTTGTAAACGAGTCAGTCCTCGAATCCATAGTATTTGACCAGCGCGTGGTTTCTTATCTGAGTCAATGGAATCAAAGCGCTCTTCTCCCAAATGCATAGCATCAGTGTATTCTTCGGGATGACCGCGACCCCACCTGTAAATAAATACGCGAAATTGGCACACAAAATGAATATACGAACACAGTTTCGTTACATACATATTCTAAAAGTTTTCATTAAAATATTTACAATAATGTTTGAATAAGATGAATTGAGTGCGTACAAAGCGAACTGGGTAAAACGAAACTATACATACAATAGTAAAATGAATTTTACTTTGTCTATACATTATATTAATGTACGTAAAAACTAGACACAAAAGGGTTCTTCGCTAACAATAAACTGATATTAGACACAGGTATATAAAATAATATATAATTTTTAGGTACAATTTACGGCGAAATTAACATATCAAAGGTTATACAGTTGTGGTCCGCCCTTGTTCTTATGCAACTCTATTTTATAGGCTTAACTTCACTTTATAAAGAATGCCAAAGATATATATAATTAAAAATAAATTTTACCAATACAATATGTTTACATCTATGTTAAAATCTAATTAATATTATCTGGACTTATTTGATAATGAAGATTAAATGAATATAATACAAATGATTAAAAATTAATTAAGAGTACTAAACCTGAATATATAAAAACTCACAAGACAGAATGATTCCGCATAACATAGTCAGGGATGTTGTAGAATTTGATAGTTGTCTGAATCAGAAATTAAACCGATAGTAGGTGTCATGAATTCAGATATTATTGGTTTGACATTCGAAACAGAAATTGTATCGGTTTTTGGTGTCACGGAAACCAATTTTATCGGAACAAATTAAACAAAGCAGGAGGATAGTTTCTGACAGATTTGATATGTAAGTTAGGAAATTATATATTTATATTATTCTTACGATTTAATTTATCTTTATTTCTATAAGAGAGAACATAGGAATAAAAGTCATAATTATTGTGTTTATAAAAAAAATCCACATATATTAAGAGGATTTGCAAAACGTAATTTAACACTCATGCATTTTTAGTAAAGTAAGTATATACATATACAAGCATGCAAGTAAATGCAAACAGTGGATTGCTGTGATCTTTTAATATCTTCGTTTTAATGTTTTCGCTGGTTCCTTCTTCCAATAAAGTAAAAGCTAAAATAGCGGAACTCATTGTAAACTTTAGTAGACTTTATTCAGTATTTTAAATTTATCAAACGCTTCCAAATTTAATCATTTGCAAGTTTTGTCACATCAGGAAACAGCTAATATGAATATTGGTTTTGCGTATGTTCGAAAATACAAAAATCCAATCAAATTCTGGGACATCATTGAAAATCAGAATTCTGACAACTACGCAAATCTGTCTTGGATTTTACAACACATTTACAATACATTTTACATTTTGAATACTTATAAAGACTACAAATTTTAGTATGAAGAAAAATTACTAGTAAACCAACAAATATTACATAACCGGTTTATTAGTAAAAAAAAAAAAAAAAAAAAAAAAAAACACAACAATTCTAAGTAATGTTAAATCAAACGTATTGACGAAAATGTAAATAAAATATATTTTAGTTTTCTTTGTACTAGTTATGTTACTTCAATCACAATATGTATATATATTACTAGAATGAGGAGCACCTTCAACAAATTAATCGCACATAATTTTATTGAAACAAAAGATAAATAAGATTTATGTAGAATGCTATTTACAGTTTATTGCTTTTAATATTAAAGCGTTTAAAGAAATTTGAACATTTTTTTAATTAGTTTGGTAACGTTTATTTTATTTTTCTTATAAATGTTTAACAACAGCAGTCTAATAATATAATAGTTCTTTTTAACAGACAATTAAAGGAAATAACAAAAGAAATGTAATATTCAAAACACCTAACAAAATAAAAGCTGAGAAATATGTTTGGATTGATAAAAAAAACTAAACTAGCTCTCTGAAGCCGCTTAGCTTTTGGCTGATATGCTATCATTTGCACACAAGTGTTCATACCTAATAGACGTAAATGTTTAGTAAATAGATTTAGAAAGATTTTGCTTTCCTACACAAGTTACCATCCTTCTGTATTTCGAGAATTTTTATAATTAAGCACTTTCATTATATGAACAAAAATAATATCATGTAATGCAAAGTGTTTTATTAAGTAGCTAAACTGATTTTATAAGTATAATATATGGAATAAATAGAATATTAAACATTTGTTTTTCCGTTTCATTAAGTATGTATCCAAATTAACAAGAACGTTCACATCTATTTGATTAAACATGGATCTTCTAAATCCAATCAAATTGTAACGACATTCACATGGAAACTGGTACAATTTTTCCGTGTAAATTATTCTCGAATTTCCCATCAGTTTTTATAGCGTATATAATAAATTACTAGAACGAATACTAATATTCACATTTAAATAATATACACATCTTTACACGAATGTTAACAAAATGTTATTCGTCAAAGTAAGTCGTTATTATGATAAAATTATATGTTCGACTGATGTACCCTGCAGCCTTTTAGTATAATATATTTTTTAAAATACGCTATGCAATAAATCTATGAATATTATCAATTATCAATTTAAGGGGTTAGGGGTAGTTAGAATTTTCAAAAAATCAATTTGCATTTTCGTTGAGTGTAACATCTTGAAAATATTCGCTGAAAATTTCAAGCTGATCCGATAATTACTTTTTGAGTTATTCGACAAATAACAAAGCGCGCTATGGCCTTCAAAGCGCTCGGGAGCTGGTAGGTGAAAGTTTAAATGCGCTTTTCTGAAAACTATGTTTTTTGAACTGGTGACAACTACTCGAAAACCGCTTAGTAGATTTTAATGATATTTATACAGGTTTTATAAATACATAAATAAAACTAATTTTTTTTATCCGATTGATTTTATATGAATCTCCAAGGACTTAGGATTGTCACCGCAAGGACTTTTTTTTGGAATTGGGTCAACACAGACAGCTATAACTTTGGAAATTAAAATTTTTTTCTTTTGAAATTTTCGTGACTTCAAGTAAAAACATTTAATAATAATGCCATATTCCTACTTTTGTAAAATAACAAGATTTAATGCAAAACAAAAATTGCTGAAAATTCTAATTTTTTGCCTCTGACTACCGCTCATAACCCTTTGAACAAATAAAAACTTTAATTCATAACCCGAAACCATATAGTTATATAACCTCTCTTTTACTATGTAACTCCAATTCAATTATGAAATGTTATATATACTGCTTGCATATACGCGACTGTGCAGCAGAGTCAATATAATCCCCACGCAATATAACTAAATATTACTTTCTAGCACAAAAGACTTCTTACATATTATTTTCTAGCATCTTTTTATGTGTGTTGTGTGTAGATAAATGTGCAATTATGTGAAAAACTCGAAGCGTTTTTTATTCATTCGAAAATATTTACTCACGATAAAATTTTAGGCAATTTTCTTGTAGGCACAGAAGTGATTAATTGTCCCCAGACTAACGTACCAATACCAAAGAATATGCACCATAACCACTGATCAAGAGATAGTGCCTTAGTGGAGAATGCCATTTTGCCATATTGTATTATAACAACCTAGAAAAAAAACCCAAATCCTCATAAACGCTTGTATCAGTTAGAATAAAATGCATACCTGCGAAATCATTGTGAAAATCCAAATTGTATAAAATATCGGATTAGTGAATAAACCTTCTACTACATTTCTTTGTCCATGTATTTTTCTTGCATTTATCTCATTGAACAAAGTCATCATTACGAATGTATTAAAAATTATAGTAAAATGTTGTGTCGGTCCAGCACCAAGGTCTTGGCCACGCCCGGATTCAATATCAAGTATCCAATCTCCTGAAATACAACCCAAATTTTTTTAATGTATATTTCAATAAAGTACAGATTATAATTATATAAAATTTCTTACCCACAAACAATAGCCCGAATATAATAAATAGCTGATACAAAGCTTGTCCCAAAATGTTTTTCATCATTGTGCGTGATATCAGAGGTTTAGTACGACCGTACGGTTTACGTAAAAGCAAATCTGGTGTTGGAAGTTCAGTAGCTAAGGCCAACGATGCAAGAGTGTCCATAATAAGATTTACCCACAACATTTGAACAGCCTGTTGATGTATTCAATGGGGTATGAACTACAAACCTTTATATTCCATAAACATATACCTTTAGTGGTGAATCTTGGACTGCACAAGCGCCAATAAATGCAACAATCACGGCAACGACATTCACTGTTAGTTGAAATTGCAAAAATTTAGCGATTGAATCGTACACATTACGCCCCCACATTACTGCCTTTACAATACTGCTGAAATTATCATCTGTCAATATAATATCGGAAGCTTCTTTTGCCACATCCGTTCCAGCAATTCCCATTGCAAAGCCTACGTCAGCCTTCTTCAACGCAGGACCGTCATTAGTCCCATCACCAGTCACAGCGACGACTTCACGGTTTTCGCTTACTTTGCTGTCAATAATACCTGTTCACGCAAAAATATTTTAATATTAGGGATATGTTTATATATTAATCGATTAAGAAAACTTATGCACACCTTTAACAAGGGTGTATTTGTCAGTTGGTGATGACCGCGCTAACACTCGCAGCTTGGGCCACACCTTATCAAGTAAATGCTGTTGAACCTGTCAAAAAAAATTATAACACAAAATGTTTACTTTTCTATGACTTATAAAGCTAATACGATTCACTCACGTCTCCATTACTGTCCCTAATTCGACGGTTAAATTCTTTGCCTTCTAAAATGAGGAAATCGTCATTTGGTCGCAAAATTCCACATTTGGAAGCGATTGAACGAGCAGTATTAATGTTATCACCGGTAACCATGCGAACAGTTATGCCAGCTCGTTGACACTTCCGTATAGCATCAGGAACTTCGGGACGGACGGGATCTTCAATTCCCACAACACATAAGCATGTCAAGTTAGTCATAATATTTTCTTCGTCATCCCAGTTTGGTTCGGCATCAATATGAACTTCGTTTATTGCCGCTTTGCCAGGTACAAAATCACGATAAGCAACGGAAATAGTACGCAGGCCATCACAAGCCATAGGCTCAATGACTTCGCGTATGAGCCGCTCTTGCATATCACGAGTGAATTTTTCCAAAACTCCGTCATGGCCATAAATAAAAGAACACCTAAAATATATGAAAGTAATTACTCTGATTTTTCTAAAATTGAAGTTCCAATGTTATTCATACTTTTTAAGCATAATTTCAGAAGCTCCTTTTGAAAATAGACGATATCCGCCATTTGGACGAGGAATTACTGTACCCATACTTTTGCGAACGGAATTAAATGTGTATACTCGTGTAAACTTATCCTCAGTAATTTCGTCACGAATCGACTGATATTTGACTCCCAAACCTTGAACGAATCCTAGCAAAGCACACTCAGTTTTATTGCCTACTTGTGTTGGTAGATCCCCTGGGTTTTGACCGGTCTGTTAGGAAATGAAGTGTGTAATACAATGTAAATTATTTTGGTCAACTCTTACCATAATATTGGATGTGTAAGCTGAATTCACTGAAATACCCATTGTTATCAAACTGCCTACATGCTGCGGTATGTCGTTCAGGGTGGGAAGAACTTTGCACAATTTTTCACATATGTAAGATTGAACGACAGTCATTCGATTTGTTGTAAGAGTACCAGTCTTATCCGAGCAAATGGCAGTGGCATTACCCATGGTTTCACAAGCATCTAAATGTCTCACTAAATTGTTGTCTTTCATCATTTTCTAGAATGTTTTTAAAAGGCAATCACAGTCCGCCAACAAAGAACATTAATATATACTAACCTTCACGGAATATGCTAACGACAGTGTAACAGCTAATGGCAAACCTTCTGGAACTGCTACTACTAATACGGTGACACCAATAATTAAGTGCTTGACCAAATTGTTCGCATAAGTATTCTTCCACTGTTTTTCTTCAATAACAAATGTCTTTATACAGAACTGGATAACTAGTATAACTACTGTTAATACAGCTATTGTTGAACCAGCATAGCCAATTTGTATAGCCAACTTTGTCAATTTCGCTTGCAGCACAGACTTTTCCTTTTTATGACTAGCTTCAGCTGGGGTTGAAACCTGTTGAACGTGATTACCATCGGATTCAGATTTGATACCGTCTGTTGGCGGTGGTGACATGTTTTTAATGGGTGCCCGGCCATCATCAGCACCTACATACAGACAATTTTGAATAATCAATATGTGTCACAAAAATAAATTTACGTATTACATATGACAATAATGAAAAAGAAGAATTCTAGGAAAAATAGAAAACTCAATATCATACAAAGACACACTATATGTTGTATTAATGATACAATAAATAAACCAATACCTAATTATATTTGTATAAATTATAACACTGGTTAAAATTTTCGGTAATTATATAGCTTGCACATATGATCTGGTTTTCATGTATTAAACCTGTATGCCACATATCTATGACAGAATTTTGTTATTACAATTATAGTTCTGCAAGTAACGAATGCTATGATTGAGTTAAAAATATTACATTGGGTTCAACGCCATGCTGTACTGCAAACATTCAATTTAGATCGTTGCATTTAATTACGGATATACGAAGAGCACAAAAAAGACTTATTATCAAACATGACGTAGAAGGAAAACGTATTGGTACAATTTAAATTAAATAAATGAACTGAGAGTGAGAGTGAGAGAGCAATCTCATGGAACGCAGGGTTGTCAATCTCGACATTTTGTAGTAATTAAAAAATAAAACAAGTAAGGAAGGGCTAAGTTCGGATGTAACCGAACATTTTATACTCTCGCAAAGTCAAATGGTATACTCGTTTGAGATTTCTTTGTGGATTGACTGATATTTTCGGTAGAAGGTCAACTATAGGCACTGGGGTTCACATATTTAGTACTTAGAGGTTTGAACAGTTTTGGTTCGATTTAGACAATTTTTGGCCGCAAGGTGGCATACTTTAATTGCATTATGCACGCAAAGTTTTACCCCGATATAATCATTGTTACCTGATTTGCATAGTGGAAAGTGAAAGAATCAGATGGAATTGAAAATGGTGTTACAAGGGAAGTAAGCGTGGTTGTAGTCCGATTTCGCCCATTTTCGGACTATGACATAGAAACATGAAAAAGAACGTTATGCACCGAATTTGGTTGAAATCGGTTGAGCAGATCTCAAGATATGGGTTTTCACCTAAAAGTGGGCTGTGCCACGCCCACTGTCTAATTTTGAACGCGGTTCCTATAAAGTCATCTCATACCATCCCAGAGATAAAATTTAATGTCTCTGGCGTGTTTAGTACCGGATTTCACCCATTTTCACACCGTCAATAGAAGTGCTAAAAACATTTGCTCCCAATGAATTTGGTTGTTATAGCATTAGCGGTTTAGGAGATATGCACATTTAACCCATTAAAGGCGGGACCACGCCCACTTAAAAAAAAATTAACTGCAGATGCCCCTCCCGAATGTGATCCTGTGTACCAAATAACAGTCTTGTATCTTATTGCGGAGCTTAGTTATGGCAATTTATTTGTTTTTTGATTAATGGCGTTTTGTGGGCGTGGCAGTGGTCCGATTACGCCCATCTGCAATACCAACCGTCCCACGGTACCAAGAAACATGTCTACCAAAGTTTCATAAAGATATCTCAATTTTTACTCAAGTTAGAGCTTGCACGGACGGACGGACGGACAGACAGTCACCCGGATTTCAACTCGTCTCTTCATTCTGATCATTTATATATATATAACCCTATATCTAACTCGATTAGTTTTAGGTGATACAAACAACCGTTAGGTGAACAAAACTATTATACTCTGTAGCAACAGGTTGCGAGAGTATAAAAAAATATATTTGAAATATTTTTAAAATAACTCAAAATCACAGTCGAATATATTTATTTATATATAGGTAAACTATTTTTAATAGTTGGATTTTAGTTTTGAGCTTTTATATTATGAAAAATTATAACTAAAAAACTAAATGTGTGAAAAATCGTGTATACAAATAAAACAATGGCAACATAGGTGAAATGAAAACAAAAGAGAACAACTAATTTCTGCGTTGCAACTACGGGCATAACCTTTGACAAATTTGGTTTGATACGGGCGGTAAGTACGGAAGGGAGGAATGTCGGTGACTGTTTGGGCTATTATACAAATAGCCGTAGCTATGAAGTATACAACGACAACATTCACAAGTATACTCATCTCTGGGGGAGTAAATAATTCAATTAAACTTGCAACGCGTCACTCACTCTTGAATGTGCTATTTTTGATATTGCTCAGCTGTTATTTTATTATTCATATGCAAATTATTTATGTATGTTGAACAGCAAATTACATAACAAGGCAAATACAATACTAAATATACCAAACAGGGTTGATGGAAACTAAGGAATTTCACATTTAAAACAACACAACTTGTACTATATAATAAAGTGATCACAGAAATAAAACCGAAAAAAGTACTCGTAGTAATAATATACGATTTTAACACTAAAATTAAAATTATACAAGTACAACAAATCAGGAACACCATTCCGTTAATTCTTACCTAATATTATTTGAACATATGAGACAAATTTATACTAAACGTAAACAAAAACAAACAAAGACCTTTTTATATTTAAAAATGTTTTCCAGAACATCCACATATAGAACGGTACATGCGAAACAAACTGTCAATCAGAGCGCAAACTAATTTTTAGCTAAAAACAGAGTTTATGAATACAAAGGCTGATTTTTCTACTGTACCCCCACTGTCATCCGAAATGCCTGAATCTCCATCCAGAAATTTGACTTATGCTTAGTTAAAAAAATATTCACAAGTTTACTTCTTCTAACTGAGACACTGTAAAAATTAAAAGAGATAAACAATCCACAAACACCACATACAAACTCAACGAGTAGAATAGAGATATATTTAAAACATTGAGATATAACACACCAGACTTAGGTATGCAGCCACCATTTTGAATAGATACAATAAGTCAAAGTTATTATACTGTCTCCCCTAAATAAAAGCGTCAAGCGATGCGGTTTCTAAAGGCCATGGTATCCTCGCGCACTATGCCGATATAAATGTGCACATCTTCTTGCTATCATTCTCCCTAAGTTATGAATCTGTGAAATGAGCGGCTTATATTTCCTTGAAAGTATGTACATATATCTCAAGAAATTTTGTATACTTTTTTTATTCCGTTTTCAGCATTCAGCAGGAGCATTAATGCAGACAGTTCTTTGACGCTTGACGCGCAATATCTATTACAAACTTTGGAATGACGTGAAGAATTTCAATACACACATGCGTTAAGAGGGGGTGTCCACAAACACAATAATTGAAAACTAACATTAAGCACTATGAAATATTTACGGCTGCGTAAAAATTAAGAGTTCAGAATACAATACATAAGTGCAACAAATATTAAATAATGTGCAATGAAAAAATATTAGAAAACTGTTAAGTATTCAAACCAATGGCGAATGCAGAGGTATTCTGTTAATTCAAATGTAAATATAACAAATATTATATAATGTGCAATGACAAAATTATTAGAAAACTGGTAAGTATTCAAACCAATGGCGAACGCAGAGGTAATCAGTTAATTCAAAAGTAATTTATTCCGAATATTAGTTCAATACCTAAATATGGTCTTGAAACATACCGAAGAGAGCAGAAATGTTCGTTTGTATATAGTAAATTACAATATTTAGTTTGAACAGCAATTAAAAATTTGAGTACCTTATTAAGGCGAAAACATTTGACCGCCATCAAATTTTCCTAGAAGGATTAAGTTTATTTTGTTAACAATTCTTATTTGCTGCAAATTGCTGTAATACAATTGATTTGAGCCTAACAACATCAATACTTTTATCTTTTCAAGTAACAAACTTCGCGTTCGTCACTGAGAGAAAAAGCAATTTAATAGATTTTGTACAAGTAGAATTGCACAACTTATATACAATGATATTGGTTAGTACAAATTGATCCAGGTATATATACACAAATGTAGACTTGTTTACATAAGAACTTTAAACAATAAGTGCTATTGCTCTACAACAACCCCGAATATATGTTATATTGCATGTTATAGGATCAAATGAGTTTTATAACAGAAAAATTAATTTTTGTTTTAGTAGTATGTGGATAATTGTCTTCATAGTTCACCTGTTAAGCTCTTGCTTTGCTTTCTCGACTTTTTAGCTTCTGCTTAATTGAAAATTAAACGGCGGTCCCATTTTTAGGCAAGTTTGGCAATTTTCATTTTCATCCAATTTTATGTTCAGTAGTAATGATGGTGATTGTAAAAGTAGTTTTATAATGTATTTTCACATTGTATTGCGCATTGTTTGTCCGGTTTATGGTACACATAAAAATTTTAATTCATCTCAACAAATTGACATTATTTTGAGTTTTAAAAGTGTCATTATTTTATTATTTATCAGTTCGTTGTAGTGGTAGATGAGTAGATCAATGAGCAATCATTCAAATCACATCATGCAACAAGTATGAGCAGTAAATGTAAAAATATACAAAAAAAACATTAAAGTAATAAAAAAGAGAACTATTATGAGGACTAAAATCAAGTGATTATTTTATAAAAAAATCATACTGATTGGGTAAGCAAACACTAGGAAATAATATCTCTTTAGCACTTGCTCCGTCATACAAACATCGCAATATATATTGCCATATTATCTAAACATTCATCTATTCAAACCAATAAACGATACACATAAAATATTTTAAGTAACAATTTGCGGAATTAAAAAAAATTTTATTGATGGGTAAAAAGACATTTCTATATATTGCAGATTGCAAAAAAAACCCAATACTTCGGGATGGAAATGCTTATTGCATATTCAATACATTATAAACCGACACGAAGAATGGTATTGGCCGCACTAAGGTACCAACGCACAATACAATAATTGTATGATTACAACAAATTGCAAAAATCCTTACACATTCATATGAACGCATATCACACATTTGGAAAGTTTACTAATTATAGATTTAAAAATATGCTTTTGATCCGATCTCTTCAAATCTGTGTATCATGCTTTTTGAAACCTGTAATTTGTATAAATATATATTATAACTTTAATATATATCGCAATTCAGTACGCAGTCTTTAGTCAGTATTTGCGACCTTTTGAAGTAAAGTCTCAATTTGTGACAAGTGACACAAAATATGGTCTCAAATTTGTCACCTGATAGTAAGCAGATCACAATACTTATAAGAATTCTTGTTTTCCTTTTTGAATATACTGACAATTCCCTTATAGAGATCATCACAGATAAATATAAATCAATTGACAGTTTTAATATTTTATGTAACACGTAAAAGATGAAAAAAAATTAATATTTAAATAAATGTCGTAACTATTGTGATTCCAAGTCAACATTTTGATTTTATTTTTATTGGTAATTATGCTTTTTGACTGCGTTATAGACGACTTAATATTTGTTATCGATACGTTTAATTAATTCATATCTAAGTACTGAATTCCGATATTAAACTACACAAGTAGCTGGATTTTCGAAAGGCACATGAAATTTGAAATATGCATCTCAATATAATAATAAATATATCCTGCAAAGCGGATCTAAAAATGTATAATATATGGTACCATGACATCTATATATATAAAAATGAAACCCGTTTCCCGTTGTCACGCCATAACTTGAGAACGGCTAGACCGATTTGGCTGGTTTTTTTTGCAGTTTTCTAATACTCTGTAGAAGGTTCTTACGAATGTCATCGTCATTCACAGCCATAGACTATATTGAAAGTACATCGTTTGTTCGGAAATGTGGTTACTTAATTAAATTCTATCGCCTTCTCAGTTACGGCGAGACCAGGGAAATAGGGATTCATTTTTATATGGAGGATATTATAGATTTCAGTTTAAATTGAATAGGTACTCATACCTAAGATACGACAACTGTCAGCTATACAAAATAAAGTAGTGCATCAAAGCTACGCTATGGCGGTACGAAGTTCGCCGAGTTAGCTAGTAGTCAATAAATTGCGAAATACGCTGCATATAATTAGAATTTTATGCAGGTGCATAGAGCATAATTTTTCCAAAGAAACTGACCTTTTTTCCGCTTTTTCAGCTCAGCTTCTTGTTCATCAACAGCAGCACCCAATAGCGTGAATATTATACCTGCTTGAGAATTTACACCCACAGCAGTTACCACCATTTTCCCGCTACCTTCCATAACGTGTGTACCCGAAAGAACCATGGGATCTACGTCTACACCTTTCTTAACGTGATCTGATTCACCCGTTAAAGAAGATTCATCGACCTTAAATATATAACGAACGAAACATTGATATATATGTATGTTTCAGTTCAATATAGCTGTGATAAAGTTTTGTACTGCAATTTAATCAAAATCTTACCTTTAAATCGTTACTTTGTATAAGTATACCGTCGGCTGGCAACAAGTCGCCGTACTTTATCTGTGCAATATCCCCGACAACAATATCACCAACAGATATTTGACACACCTCTCCTCCGCGAATAACCGAAAACTTGTGCTCACCTTCAATACGATTCTGCAGTCCTCGAAATTGGCGCTCTTTCGAATAATCATTGAACGCTGTCACAAATACTACAACAATGACCGATATCAATATGGCTAGACCTTCAATCCAACCGTGATGATCCTCCTCTTCTTGTAGTACGGCTAAAACATAAAAGCTATTACATATTAGGCCTATGCTGGTAATCCTAATATATAATACATATAATTGCCTGCTCGTGATTTAACAAAGAATAATATCAATTCCAATATGAATATCTTCTAAAGTAAACTAAATAAAAATGAATATAAGACTAGAAGCCCGACAGACGTTGTCCTGTCCCACATCTTAACTGTAAACTTTTTATAAAAAAGCTGTAACAATTAGACCGTTTTGATGAAAATTTTTATTAGAAACTTTTTACAATATTTAATTCATATATATTTATCACAATCGGACCAATCGATAGCGTGTCAATATGTATATTAGAATGCTTTCAGAGATGTTAATTGTAGAAGCTGTATTGAATGAAAGCTTGAAGTCGGTTTAACTGATTCTGAAAAGGTTGAATCTATTCTATAACGGGTATTTATTCTTAGAGTTAATTATCTACAAAAACTGAAGTTATCGTAATGCCATAGGATGTACAATATTTTTGCTTAATCCTTGGTATAAACAAATAAATTCGATGGTTTTCCTGCTCTCGAGCACGCAACGTATAATTGGCAGTAAGAAACGGATTTTCTAAATCTATTCCACAAATCGTCATTGTTTGACCTTGTGCCTTATTAATAAGTAACGGCGAATCTGAAGGAATCATTGGAATCCGTGGCAGAAGTACTCAAAATAGTGGCTTCAAAAATGTTGCCCATGATTTTTTTATGACTAATCCTCATTGGTCCTTGTGTATTTTTCATAGCATTTTATTTCTACAAAAAATGCCATGTCTTCACGGAGAGCAAGATATATAAACAAGTTTATTATTTATTTATTTACATATTTCTTAGTTTTGTATATTCACTACTTCCATATAAAGTAGCATAGCAGTATGAATGTTTAGACACTATACACCATACACATGTCTATAGTCTTAATAGTTTAAACTATAATTATGCTATCTTAGAATCTCAGCGCCATCTACCAGGCTCAAATATACTATCTGTCACGACTGCAGCGCAGTCTGCCGGAATTCTATGTAAAACGTTCTAACATCTGCGATGGTAGCGCAGTCTGCCGGATCCAATGTAAATCATTCCAAATTTAACAACTACTTACAAATGAAAAATTAGGAGGAGTTCAGTGACATACACACGCACACAAGAAATATATATATCAAGATAAGTATACATTGTTAACACTCACGTGCATCCTCATCGGCGGGTTTGTAAAAAGATAATCCAAGTGAAACTAAAGCTGCTACTTCTAAAATAATGAGTGTTACATCCTGTAGCGCTTCCCAAACCAATGTTAAAAAAGTTTTTGGAGGTTTCGGTGGGATGACATTTGAACCAAACGTTTCGCGCCTATGTTCAATATCAGATCTTGATCCCCTTAAGCCTTAGAAATAATTAAACATATGCTGTTACTCAATAATACAAAGTAGGATAAACTCACCATCATTTGTGGATGTATATAATTTGTCACACAATTTATTGACCCCGCCAACTTCGCTTAGTTTTACTACGCCTTCCCTGCCACGATGCTCCATGAGCTCCCGTAATTGTTTAAGAGATATCCCATATTGCGTCGGTCGTCCATCTATTGTGGCCATTTGTCAAAAAAATCTGGGAAACATAGAACATGCTTGTTAGTTTTCGAAAGAATATTTCACTAAATTAAATAGTTTCGAGTTAGAATAATAACGTACAAATTCCATTAATTTCAACTTTGGATATAAAATTAAGATGTAGGTGAATAAACAATGAATTTTAATATTGAAATGATTCTAATTTCAAATATTTTCAGTCTTAGAAGCTGAACATGACACCTCACATCTCGTTATATCTGTTTTCAGGAAATGTTAACACCATATGATGTCTAAAATCATAATATTATGTGTTCCCTAGAATTAACTAAGTTTTATAAACTGAGTTTAGTTAAGACTTTTATTGCTTTATCCATTCCTTATTATATTTTCGAATTATATTTAAACATCCTAAATGCCAGTTACATTATTCACTAGCAAATATCATCAGCCCACGTAACGTATCCGATCCAAATTTTCAACTGTATCAGCAGCTTTTCTCAAAATTATTTGAAGAACAGGCAAACAAGATGAAAAATATTTCACATAATTTTAAAATACAACTTATTTCAATAATTATGTATCGCAATATTAACAAACCAAGATTTTGTAATGTTACCAAACTTTCCATTAATTGCTAAATAGTTTGAAGGAGAAAAATTAATATAAGAGAAAATAAAAAATCGATCAATTAAAGGATTAGGGGTAGTCAGAATTTCCAAAAAATTCTATTTTATTAACTTTTCTTTAAGTAATACCTTAGAAATATTATATACCACTGTAGCTCGAAAGCAGCACGGTCGATTTCAAGGAAATTTATACAGCTTTTTGAAAACACAAAATACTATTGCCTGATAAAAAGATTTTTTTTATTTAATTGCAACTTTTTATAAACAATTAACTGTTAGTTTTTTGCCGAAAATCTGAAAACATTTTTCATAGACCGTCATGTTTTTAATTGACAAAAAAAACAAAAGCTTTGATCAGGCACTAGATTATCTATTAATTAAACTTATGTTCTCTTTCCAAACAATTTTAAATTAATCTCCAAGGTTTGATGATGATCACCGTAAGGAGCTTTGGTTGGAACTTTTAAAACTATTAATGCTCTTTTTCCAAATTGCTGTCAAGTCATTTCAAAACCTTATTTAATGGAGCTATGTTTTTGCTTTCATAAAATAAAATAAAATACTCTCAAAAAAAGTATTTATAATCTTTATTTTGTCATGTCTTCGATCACATCTAACCTCATAACATGGCGGTAATTCATATGACATATCATCTTCCGTAGCCAAAACGAGGTTAGCTACAGGTTCGATACGTGCACATTTACTTCGCCTATTAATCTAGTATATAAAATTCTAGTGTCACGATGTTTGTTGCCAAACTCCTCCGAAACGGCTGGACTGATTTTGATGAAATTTATTGTTCTTATCGGGTAGGTGGTAGGTTTGAGAATCGGCCAACATCTATTTTTCTTACGAATAAATGTTAAGGGTGGTGCACCCCATATATTACTAATTTTTATTTTTTGGACACATTTTTTTGTTCTCATTTTTTCACGATTCAGCATTGAAAAATACATGCAATTCCAAGCTATACGATTAACCATTGATTTTTAATCGCGATTTTTATATAATTCTATTCCATTCAGAGGTAATCGAATAAAATAATTGTAGTATACTATAATTTTCATGTAGTTCAGTTCTATCAACCAATCAGTTATCCACGCCAGGTGTCTCCCGTTGTCACTTCTCAACCAGCAAACATCACGGAGAAGGAGTGAAAATAAGTCGGCTTAGTTTATTCTCATCAAGTCAAGTTAATTTCATTCAGCGCTTGATAGTATTTCAATTCCTCCAAAAACTACGCTCATCAAAATTTTTGAATTGTGTAATCGAAAAAATAATTGCACCGCAAGCAAGGCACACCAGTAATGCATGTCCCGCTTTATTCAAATCAAATAATTTTGGTCGTGTATATACAGTCAATCCAGGGCAGAATTACTGCTTTTACCTGCGACTGTTGACGCCTGACCATTAACATTTCAAGATACGCGTGAAGTAAATGGGCAAGAGTATCCAAGATATAAAACTGCATGCCTGGCAATAAACTTGCTAGAAAATAACAATCAGAGGGGCAGTATGCTTGCTAAAGCAGCATTAAAGCTAGCTGTACATGAAAATACTGGAGACATAAAATTACCGACGGATTTCTGCACAAATATCAACTCACAAAATACTCTCATCGACAATATGTATATCCCAATGTACACACAAAATATATGATTAGCTGGCAGATTGATTTTGGCAGTAAAAAATGTGGACGTCAATATTTGCGATGCCAACGAAGCTGCTCATTATCTAATTGATTTTTTGAATTCATTGGATATGCCGCAGATTTACAGCTGAACCTTGGATCTTCAGTTATTTGGCTTCATAATTTGAACCCACCACGGCTTTGCAATGGCACAAGATTAGTTTTTAAAAATTGAAGAAAAACTTAAACGAAATTGAAGAAAAACACCATTTCAAATGGCAAGTTTCAAGGCGAAAATGTATTGCTGCCACTAATACCTATGATTCTTACAAATGTGCCATTTGAATTTAAACGAACTCAATTTCCAATTAGATTGACATTCGTAATGACGCTAAATAGCTCACAAGGCCAAACGTTGTTTATGGCTTAGATTTGGGTACACCATGCTTTATGTGGCATGTTCTCGCGTGAACAAACCATCCAGTTTTATTGTATTCGCAAAACACAACTGACCGAATATTGCACACTCCATTGCATTGAGAGATAAATTTTTGTTTATTTTTAAATCAAACAATTAGTAATAAAAATATTAACAATTTTCGATGTGCATATAGCTATGAATAATTGAAATTTAATATATATTTCATCTTCATTCTTCTTTCAATTATAAATAATTACATCCCCCACACACTTACACCGGGCCAGCTAATAAAATAATAATATAAAGGTACTGTAATATTCGAAAACTAAAGCTACGATATTTTATTAATCTCAGTTCAGTGCAAATACTTTAAAATATCCCTTATCCCTTACTGTCTGATTTACATACAACTTTCGTCGCAATTAAAAAATAGTGAAACAGTAATTAATAAAAATGGCGAAAGTTGCTTGTCAAAGCATAATAAGATGAGATTTGTACAACAACAGTAAAAAAATTCAAACTTATCTGTCAACGCCGAAGTCTAACGCAAAGCGAACCGAAAATTGTTTGAAAATCAGCCATAAGACTTGGAATAATTTCCCCTAAATATTATCGTCCGGGTGCTGAAAGACTACATTATATTTAACAATAAATTATTAAATTTGAAGTATTTAAAAGCTAGCAAATTGGTAAAGAAAGGTCTAACAAACAAACATGTGTACGTGTAAACATATACAAGCAGACAGTTTATAAATATACATTCATAGAAATTATTAAATTTTTTGTTATGAAGAAATTTTTTATGTTCGGACACAAAACGAGCACGCCGAAATATACAAAAATATCTCTGCATATGCCTATATATTAAAAGCAACGAATAGAGAAAGTAGATATACAAAAAAAAATTATATAATATGTATATATAACTATATAACTAAGTACATATTTGTACGTCTATCACGGGAACATAAATTAATACCAAGTTAATTGGAATGTTTGCAAGAACACAGCTAAAACAAAATGCCTGGTTTTTTAGAAGCGAAATCTCACGCTTCTTGTGCCGTGTACCATGAATATTAATATCTGTAAATCGAAAAATACAAACAAAATACTCATACTCACTGAGTTTACCATTAGAAAAAGAGAGCTTATATATAAACAAGCTGTAAATATATAAAATATACTCAATATGTTTGCATATTTAAAAATTGTTCACAAAAGGTCATCCCAATCATTCAAAACTGAATTTTCAAACGTGCTTTTCTCGAAACTACATTTTTTAAACTGGCGTTCATGATTTCTCAAAAGCGCTTTCATCGATTGCTTTAAATTTTCAATAGTAGATTTATTACACATGTGGCTATCGTCTGAACTAGGATTTTTGAAAAAAAGTCGCAAAAAAGCATGAAATTTTCGCTTTTAATTTTTAAAAGCATTTAAGAAATTGAATTTTCAAGATGTGTGAAAGATCCTAATTCCGGCGTCAGCCATCTACCTACAGATTAAAATGCAATTTGTTTTTCTGAATTTAGGTTAGCCAGTCTGCTGGAATCATGGACGCCGTTTGTCTACCTTTTTTCAACATGGGTGTCATTGGAGCGGTAATTCTCGCAATTAACAAAATATTTTTACTTATAAAAATTCAAAAGTACAGCTAAAGGCTTAAGCTAAAGGAGGAAGCTGTGTTTTTTCATTTCACTATAAAAAATTCCTAAATATTCACTTAGTCATTGTTGTCAGTAGGCATACGCTTCAAATTTGAGCGCTTGTATTTGCTTTGTTAGCTTTTTAATAACTAATTCAAATTAGATTTGGAAAGAAACTAATAAAACACAATTTTGACAACACCATAGAGAATTACTTCAGATAATGTTAAAAAACATTTAATTTAATTCATACCAAAAAGCCCAAAACATGCAGAAAATGCATTAAATTTTAACCTTTTTAAAAATTGACAGCGGACATACACATTCATACAGTAGATCAAAGCCAAACTCTTACACCGCAGCAAATTTTTTTTACCTTGCTTTTAATTATTTGAAAATAAAGTTCAAAACTCATTCTCAATAGTTTGTTTGAATAACATTGATTTAATAAAAGATAATGTAATAATATTGCACTTCAATGAATAATATTTAACAATGTTTAATATGGAAAAAGAAGGAAAAAGGATGCCTAAGCAAACTTGCACAGTCCTCTTTAAATACAACCTTTGGCCTAAATCGCAGCCAACTTCTGCTGTTATATATTTCCGGTAATCACCTGCACATATAAACCACAAAATATTTATGTGCAAAATTTTAATAAAACAACAGAAATCAGACAAATGATTGTGAAGGATTCCGAAGATGGGAAATCCT